TGTTTTTTCCTTTCTTTTGGTTCTTTAAGCCAAATTCATGCACAAATGTGCAGATACAATTGTTTATATACACATGCATTTGCATATGTATCCTCAAATTTATTTACATTTAGAATAAGTATTATACATTATTGTTATACACATGCATATAATGTTTCATCGAATACGTAAATTTTTCTTTTGTTTCACAAAAATTTTTAACATACATTTTTAATTTTTATTTATATTAATTTTTTTTTTTAATTTTTTGTTTATATTTGTGCATTTTTGAATGTATTTTCCATAACATCTGCTATCTTTTACATAAAAATAACAGCAAAAAAAAAGAAAGAAAAATCAAATGAAAACAATGCGTTCCATCCTCATCTTACCATAAGTTCTTATACGGTGTAATTTTGTGTTTCATTTCTTTAGTATCCTTTCCGTTTAAAATAATATTGCCAAGAACGGCAGCATATATAGCAGTATAACACAAATGAAATTGAAATTGTTATAAATGTATAAAAATAAATATAATATTCTCTCAATACCTTTGTTTTCTTTCTCTCTCTTCATTTTTCTATATGTTCCTATTTCATATAAGAAAAACGATGTATTTACTCATTGCGGAACTTTAAAATAGAGTAGTGTAGTTTTTATTTATTTTTGATACATTTTTGTACTACCTATATCCATATAATTCGATATTACGTTTTTCTTTAAGTGGTAAAACAGAACAAAAGTGGAAAACGACAACAGCGGAATGACGAAATCAGCTGTTCAGTATTTTGCAAACAAATGTCACACAACCATGAAAATATAATAAACCGCCAGCGATAAAACAGTATTTTAGACTTTTCACCGCACTTGTTTAAAATCGAGGCGGTAATTTTGCTTCATTCTTGGCAGTCCCATTTATGTATATTTTATATGTATTCTATATGAATTTTGAGCTTGCGCCGCAAAAAATCGCTCTTGTTCTGTTTTCACCTTGAAGTTGTTATTAAAAATAAATCAGATATTTATTTAATTTTTTTTTATTATTTTTTTTTTTTTTTCAAAATCTAGATTTTGCAATATGAATATGTGAACTTGTTTATTAAAATAGTAGAATACACAATAATGGAACATTTATATTGTGTACTGGAATCAGAATTGATGTTGACTGGACTGAAAAATTTTAATAAAATAATTTTTTTTCAAAAATTCATGTGCAGATAATGGATTTGGAGTCATATTTTAAATTGAAGACAAAGTGGAATCGAAGCAAGAGACAGATTTATAAAATTTTAGGACGAACTCTGCTGTAGTGTTTCTTGCAAATGCTGGCCTATATACAATAAGACTTCCAAACTTTCAGTCTCATTAGCGACGATGGCAGTGAAACAAAAGAATATATAATTCCACATTTTAAATATGAACCTAAAAAAGAAAATTACTACAATTCAATGCCGGCTACAATTAAATATATCCAACACTCCTATCTTTCTTATTCAAAATGTAAACAGTCTATAACAACGGCAAAATACAAAATAATATAGAATACACTAGAAAAAATAATTGCACAATAATTTATTAGTACATATTATTATTGTAAGAAACAAATGAAAATAAAACAAAACATTTGTTTATTATTTTTCTCGTATTTTATAAATATGGAACAATATGAAAATTTATATTTAAAATGAAACAAACAAAATATCTCATAGTATGTTATGATAATTAATATTAACAGCAGAACACAGCACAATACTACTATGCATATTTGTATGTGTACTACTAAATATACAATAGTAAAACAAGAAAAAATAAGAAATAAAAATTAAAATAAGAATTTTTTTTTAGAGAGAATAAATAATACAGAAAAAAACTATAGGAAAGATACAAGAAAAACAAAAAATGTTGCCAGGAACGAAAATGAAATACTAAAAGAAGCGCTACATAAAACTCAACACAAATTTTTCCCTCATAATTTTAAAATTTAGTTTAAGTGAATCCTTCTTAAGGTGAAGGTATTATCCACCCGCTATTATATTTATACATATATATACATATAATATTAATTAATAAGAAAATAAAAACAAAAAATAAATTCAGTAAATTTTATTATTATTTTTATTATAATTTTTATCTCATATATAAAAAAATTAAATTATATAAGTTCTACATATAAATACATACAATATTTAAATTTAAATGTTTATATTAAATTCACACATACACACATACAAATATAATAAATTAATTTTGAAGAAATTTTATTTATTAAATTTAAAAAAAAGTATGTAAATTATTTTAGAATAATAATAATAATAATTTAAATTCATATATGTATAATAAATTAAATGATAAAAAGAAGAAAAACAAAACTAACATACACACACATACAGCTGCATAAACAAATGAAAATATAAAAATAAAAAAATAATAATTACTAATTTAATTTATTTAAAAAAAGCAAAATTTTTATTTTATTTTTTTTTTATCAAAGTGTTATATGTTATAACATGCGCAGTATTTTTTATTTATAAAATATTTCAATTTAAAAAAAAAAAGTGAAAAAAAAAATATTTAAAAGAAGAATAAAAAAATAAATGCAATTTTTTAATGCATTTCTAAATAAATGCGTATGTATACATAAGTATATATATAAAATATATGAATATGAAAATAAAATAAAAAATATATTGTATAATAGTATTAAGGGAAAGAAGCACACATCACACAAAGTATTATATGTATTTAAAAATTAATTTATAGTATAAAATAAAATAAAAAAAAAATAAAGTCAGTACAACAAAATAATTACAAAAAAAAAATATTACAAAATATAATAAAATTAAATAAGACTACAAAATATAATTTGAAATATTAAGAAATTAATAAAGAGATAATTAGAATATAGTCAAAAATTTTTCATAAAAGTAAGAACACAAAAAGTCACAACATTTTTACTAAAGTTTATAAAAAAAATATTATTAAAAATTTAATAATTAGTGAATATATTTACGTACAATTAATAATGTAATATATGAAATATTTATTTAAAATTTATAATATACGCCAAAGCAATTCATATTTTTATTTAATTTAATTTTTATTTATGTAATAAATTTTAATAAACCTTAAAAAAACAACAAAAAAAGGGGTGAGAAATTTATAAAAATATTAAAATATTATTTAATGAAAAAATAAAAAAAAATATTAAAATTCAATGCAAAAATATTATTTTAAAATAATTTTATCTATTAATTAATTCAATTTTCAGTTTAATTAATCAAATTACTATATGGTTGAAAAATAACACAAAAAAGAAAATGATTTAAAAGTAAAAACTAAGTATTTCTATCAAAATATTTTAATTTTTATTAAAAGTATTGAAATTCTTATATAAAAACTACATAAAAAAATGTGTACAAAAAATATTAGTTAAAATAATTTATTTTACCTTTTTACACAAAAAAAAAGTGAAATTTTGAAAAATTGTGAAAATAAAGAAAAAATTTGAAATGCATATAACAGATAAATATTACAATTATTAAACGAAATTATGTAACTAGAAAGAAAAAAAAAGAATAGAAATTTGATTTTATTTTATTTTTTTTTTTTATTTTTTATTTTCAAATTTTATTTTGTTTTCGCATAAAATCAAATATAACAATTATTATTTTCCCTCCACCGCTTTGATTATTTGATAATTTCTTTACAAAATAAATTTAATTTATATTAATCAATAAAAATCATATTAAAAAAAAGTAGAAAAAAAATATTATAATTATATTATAATAAAAATGAATTGAATTCCAAAACACAAAAATTAAGTGAATCAAAAATAAAAGATATAAACAAAATGGATTTGAAAGAGAAAAAAAAATAACAAATTGAAATTAAATATTAAATTTACCTTTAATTAATTATTATTAATTGTACTAACTCATATACGTACAGTTATTTATATTTAAACATTAGATTTACATATACATATAAAACAAAACGAAAATAATTTTTAAGAATTCTTGTTAAGAATTTTTATTAATATAGAAAATAAAAACCTGCCATTTAACCAAAAAAAACAACAAAAATAACAAATTATTAAACCAACAATTCATTCATAATCATTATTTAAAAGTTAATAATTAATTAAAACTAAAAAATACAAATACAAATTAATACAAATTTAATAATTTTTAATTAGAATATAAAGAATAAAACAAAGAATAAAATTAAATAGAAGAGACAGCAAACAAATTATCATTATTAATTCTCACTAATTATAATTATTAATTTAATTTTCTTTTATTAAAAAACAAATCTAAGAAACAAAAAGTACAAAATAGAAACTAATTAAATAAACAAAAAATATAAATGTACAAAACAAAAGTAAATAAAGTAAAAAATACAAAGAAATAAAACAAAAATAATTTTTTAAATTAAAAGGAATAAAACAAAAAAAAAAAACATTTTCATATTTTCTTTTTCTTGTTTTTTGTTGTATTTGTATAACAAACACTATATATATAATTATATAATATAAAAAACTATGAAAATATGAGAATGAAAATAAAATTAAATTGATCATTTTTTATATTAATCTACTTATATAACATAAATGAAATCGTACAAGTATAATTATTAAAAAAAATTAATACAAAAAAACGAAAAAATAATTCTAAGAATATAACAGAATATTTGAAATATATTATTAATATATATAAATCGAAAAATTATCGAAAATAACATGGTAAATAATTAAAATACTAAATAAAAAACGTAACAAAATCTAGTGTTTTTAAAAAATGTTAAAATATTTTATACATTTTAATTTTCAATTTTGATATTTACACAATATGAAGTATCAATTCACGTTATGAATAATTTTTTATAAATTATAATAATTTCAATAATAAATAAAAGAATACTGTGGGATTTATGTTCCTTAATTAACTACTAACCTAAAAAAAATTTAAACTGATTATCTTTGTTATATGCTTCATTTAATACAAACCCGGTGAATTTAAAATTAGAAAACTTGATTTACTTTGATTTAAAACAAATATAGTTCAAAATAATAAATTGTGTTGTAAAAATTTGTTATTATTAAACAAATTGTGTGTGCGAATATGATTTACTTTTTTTAAAATTTATAATTATAATTATTTCTATACATAAAATAGTTTTGAATTAAAAACAAATATGTTACATAATTATTTTATTTTATAAAAAAAATTATTTAAGGGCAAAATCGCTTGAATTAACAAACAAAATGCTCATGGTATATCAATCATGAAAATTGAATTACTATCATATTATAATTTACAAAGATATTATACTATTATTGCTATTATTATGTATTTTTTGAAAAATTATCGAAATTATTTTAAGAATTAATTTACATAATTAATTAATAATTTTAACAAAATAAGGAAAAATAAATTGAATAACTAGCTGAAGAAAAAATTAAAATATAAAACAAAAAAAAATGGCCTCAATATTAAATCCACAAACTGCTGGATTAACTGGTAATGATCCAACAGCAACTAATTCAAATTTAACAACAAATTTAAATTTAAATAATCATGCACAATATCATAATACTGAAACGTATAATACAAATGCTGCACAATCATCAAATGATCAAATGCAAATTGATCAAAATTCATGGGCGGATTATTATAATAGACAAGATCATAATAGTCGTTCAAATAATGATAGTATATCATCACAATCAAATAGTAGTTATACACGTCCATGGGAAATTGATCCACCAAAAGATATTAAACAGCAATCACAATTTGATTCATTTCCAAAATTACCATCATTTCAAAGTCAATTTCAAGGTTTTACCGATCCAAATTCATTAATAGCTGATACAGTAGCATTACCACATTTATCACAACCGGTACCAGTACCAGTTCCAGTATCACCAAGTAGTACATCACCTGTAACAAATAATACAACAGCACAATTAACACCATTAACACCAATAAATACACAAGAACATCAACAACAAACGACATTAGTAAGCTTACAAAATTCCAATATACATACATTAACGGCTGTGAGCGGAAGACATTCCTATTCATTAGTAACAGCTCCAATTCAGGTGCGTGACATTCCATCTGCTATTAATCAACAACCTCAATATATTGATGATCGCCATATACAAATATATCAGTCAATTTCATCACCATTTCAACCACCAAATGGTAATGGTCAACAAAATACAATTTTAGTTAAAAAACAGGATACAACTGTAAATACATTTGATTTACAAAATGGTAATGCAGTGGTACGAACTTTAACTGGTAATAGTACAGATAATTTAAATTTAGTAAGTAGTGTTCAATCATCCATTGACAGCCGTTTAATGGATACTAATAGTTATCAGCAACAACAGCAACACCATCAACAACAGCAAAATGCAACTACAACAACACAACAAATTACACCAACGACTACAACAAGTATAAAAGCTGGGAAAATTCCAAATTCGGATATAAATCGTGTAGATGGTCGTAAGAAAGAGCGTAGAAAAAATCGTGCTGGTTCACTTGAATCGACTGTTGAATCCGAGAACAGTGCAATGGATGTGGATTCTAGTCAAGTTGATGCTGTATCAAGCACGGCAAACTTTAAAAGTCCATTTAATTCAACAAATTTACATGAAAATGATGGTACTATGGGTAAACAACAAAAAAAGAAAAGAAAACGTTGCGGAGAGTGTATTGGTTGTCAACGTAAGGATAATTGTGGAGATTGTGCCCCATGTCGAAACGATAAAAGTCACCAAATTTGCAAACAAAGACGTTGTGAAAAACTTACAGATAAAAAGCTTATTTATGATACCGACGGCCAATTGATAAAAACGGAATCAAGGCGTGGTCGTGGTAAAGGTAAAGCAAATGGTGTGCCAAAACCAAAAGAAGAAAAGAAACCTAAAGGTACGCGTGGAAGGAAATCAGCTGCTGTTTTAGCTGCAGCAAATACTACAACCGTAGAAACAAACAGCGATGCAGCACAACAGCAGCAATTGCCACAGCAACCACAACAACAACAGCAGCAACAACAGCAACAACAACAACAGCAAAAGAATCCTATTTTAGTGGCAGCAACCCTACCTTCGCCACATCAAACTCAAAAAGCAATGACAAATCTTGCACCAATTACAACAGCTATAACAAATCAATCACCGAATAAAAATCCTAATAGTACAACTGTATCAATGTTAAATGCTTCACCTCAGCATCACATTTCGCAACAACAACAACAACAACAGCAACAATCGCAACAACAACAACAGCAGCAGCAGCAACAACAACAACAACAACAACAACAATCACAGCAACAACAACAACAGCAGCAGCAACAGCAACAATCACAACAGCAACAACAAGTTCATAGTCAAATTGCAACACACCAACTAGCTACAACGCAACAAATTCATAATATTAAAGAGCAACAAACAGCACAACAACCAATGACTCCAATGGCATTTTATCCAACATGGCAAACCGCAGATCCATCACAAACTTGGCAAAATCAATTTATTCAACAAATTCCACAAAATCCAACAACTTTAACTCCACTTAGTTCTATAGAATTTCAACCTCAAACATATACATATCAGCATAATGGTTATATACAAACTGCTGGTATTGGTTTTGATCCAAATTATGGTAGAGCTTATGCTCCACCACCAGTACAACGTTATGATTTTCAAAATCAACCTATAGCAGCTTCCGGTGTTAATCAAGTTGCATTACAAGGTGTTGGCGTTGCCTCTTCAGTTGCATATACTGGGCAAATAACAGCTGCTAATACTAATCCAACCACTTTAACAAACACTTATCAAGATCGATCTAAAACTGATAATGATATGTCAGGATATCCAAGAGTTAGTAGTTATTCAAGCGAATTTAATACAAATCAAACACAATCATTAATGACACAACAATATAACTGATATTTAATTGATTTTTAAATAAATAAAGTGAAATTTAAATACCAAAAAAGAAAAAATAGTAATGTTATGTAAAAAAAAAACAAAAAAGCCGACCAAATTTATTAACTTTTATTAAAATTAGATTTATATTTAGAAAAAATCCAAAGGCCAAAAGACGGAAAATTTTCCAAATAATTCTCGTAAAATATTTTGTATTTGATTTATTTTTATTATATTATTACTTTTTAATCTTATTTTAAAAATAAATTTACATAAGATAAAAATTTCGGGTTAATTACATTTTGGGAAGAAATTAATATTAAAAAAAAAATAAAATAATTTTAAAAAACTCAAATAAGTTCGGTACTTAATAATATACCTTATTGTTTTAAAATTAGTTGATTGAAATTATAAGCAATACAAAAAATTCAATATAAGTTAATTATGATTTATATATAAAAAGTGTATTGAGATTTTTATTTAAAAAAAAAAATTTATATATATATACTCATAAAATGTCAATCAGAGTTGCAAAATATCATAAAGGATAACTTATCTTACTTCGATTGCAAGCACTAAATCAGGTAATTATAATTTTTATATTACATTTGCCTAGAATATTTTTACAATTTAATTTCAAAATCAATTTGCATTAAATAAGACCATTTTGTATTAAATTTTGTAACTTTCAACAATATAATTAAGAAAACTATTTAAAGAAATGTAATTTGAAGAATATTATAACAATACTACTGTAATTTACAGTGATCATCAAATATAGAAACTGAGCAAGAAAGTTTAAACTACGAGAGATCAAAACATATCTATGTCAAATATCATTATAATAGGGAGAATTAGATTTTAATATTATTAATGACAACATTGGTTTTATGTTTTTAATTTTTAAATTAGGAGTAGGTATATTCTTTCTCATGTTTAATCGTATACAGTTATATCTGTCATTTATTGTTATTCGTACAATTTGGTGACTTTTATCGTTTGTCCTACCATAGCAAAATTATGAGTATTGCGCGTTGTTAAATCTATTTTAAAAATTTTTATAAAATAGTAAAAAATATATTGCATATTTTGCAGTTATGGTTTTGCAGTATTCAGTCTTCCAATTTTCTTTTGTAAATTTCTTGTATCTTTAAAAGCTCGAATTTATTGCTTATAGACATAGAATTGTGGTGATTTTTCTTAACTGGAACTTCTTATTACATATTTTTAATTGCATTAAGTTTATTTTTGTTTAATTGGCCAAAATTCGTCGATTGTCATTTTAGTGTAACGAATTGTGTTCCATAATCAAATTTAAAAAATAAAATTTCTGCTTTATTATTAAAATAATTTTAACTCTATAATCCATAATGTAAATTTATTTTGAAAAAATATTAAAATTTTTCAAATTACATGACATAATTAATTTTTTTACGACTATTAACCGGATTTTTATCGTATTTCTTAATACTCGTAGCTTAAATGGTATAACTCATAAGTAACCATTTAAACAATCACTTCAGAAGAATATTATAGTAAAACTTGAAAAATCTCATATACTTAATTGCATAAAATCCACTACTTACAAATTATTGATTTATATTTAATTTTATAAATTATTAAAATTAAATCATTTAACAATTTTTATAAATTACTTGAGAAATATTTTAAAATCTTATTAAAATTTAAAAATAGAAAATTAAATTGCTTGAATTAAATTTTTTTTGCTTCTTCTTAAAATTTTTCATTTTTTAAGAGATCTCTAAGAATTTAAATGATATTTAAGGAAATAATATAACCACATAAACACATACATATGTATATTTATACTGTAAATACATACATATATAATAATTTATGTATAAGGATGTGAACATAACAAAAATTAGAAAAAAAAATTGCAAAAATTATTAAAATTAATTTCGTCTACCGACACAATTTTTTTTTTTTTAATTTACATCCTAAAATATTCATGAAGCACAGAAAAAAAAACAAAAATCATTATCCATGGTCTAGTTTTTTTTTATTCTCTCTATATTTTTAACAGCGGTACTTTTTTCAAATAAAATAAAAAAAAATCATTTTATAATGGCGAATTATAATTATAAATACATTTTTTTTTTGTTATCTATGGGTATAATATGCACATACATATATGTACAGTATACAATGAAGAAAAGTTCATATTACATTTTATACATACACATAGACGCATATTATGAACATGTTATTTTATGTGAATAATTTTTAACCCATTAGAATTGTCCTTGAGAATAATCCTAGATTTTTTTTTTTTAATATAATATGAAATTCAAAGTACTTATTATGTAGATATTTACATATATGAATGTATTTCGTATACTTATATACAAAAAAACTTGTAAACATATTGTATTTAAATATAAAATATGTGGCTATAATTGCAATATATATATATACATATATATATATAAATGTATCCATATTGAAAACGACATACAAATATACAAACAATACAATAGAATTACAATAACAAAAACCGAAAAAAATCTATATCATTTGCATTGTATAACTGTTATATGTACATGATTTTCTGAACGTGTACATATATATAATTATGCATGTATAGATATTTGATCGCCTCACCTACATTTTGTTTATTTATATGCAATATTTTTGTGTGTACATATATTTGTCATTAAATGCATAAATTTTTTTTTTTGTGTTATAACTGTTATATGAACATAAATTTTATACCCTATATATGCATATAATTTTACTTATCTTTTATACGAATATATGTATATATGCATATACATAATTATACTATGTGTATGTCAGTATAGAATATAAAAAAATATTGATGTTATAATATGTATGTACATAGATATATAATTGTAATACATTTAGCGATATAACACGAATGCGAATTATAAACATTTATAAAATTGTTCGTATTGCATATTTTCGATGTCAAGTACGTTGAAAAAAAAATTATATTTTTATATTTCTATTTATTTCCTATAATTTTTTTTTTGTTATATTTATTTAAAATAAAATATAAAAATATTTATTTTTAATATTATATAATGGTGATTTTTCCAAGGAAAACTAAAATAAAATAACAAAAATAAAATTATAATTATAAATAATTTTTACCGTTATACAATATTTGTAACGTCACACCATATAACTCTGCAAAATTACAAATAAACTTTACTGTAATACAGACACATAGACAAATTGCAAGCATAATGTTATACACACATGTATATAACATTATGCTTGCAATATAGCAAAATTATTTACATTTTATATATAAATAATATTAGATAAGGCGGCATATATCCCTTTAAATTGAATGTTCATTTTGATTTCTTTTTAATATTTCACTTTCTCACTCTCTATCTCTTTCTCTCTCTCCGTTTCTCTTTCACTCTTTATAATTCTTGTTTTCTTTGGTTTTATTTTTAATAATCGCACGCTGCGATTTTTATTTTTAAAGCAGGTGAAATCCTTTATATACATACATATTATATAAAATGTATATAATATAAATGGATAAGAGTAACGGCATAAATCCACACGGTGTAAATTTAAAAAAATCTAAAAAAAACACAGGTATTTTTAAATTTTCTTGTTTTTTTTTTACTAAATTTATATTAATAAACCGATGCAAGGGGAAGTGGGAATTCGCAATAATATATATACATATATACATATTTAAATGCAAAAATATTATTAAAAGGAGAGAAAACAACTTAAAATGACGACTATGACGACGTTCGACGACATCATTAACACAACAAAAAGAACCCCTTCTGTCTCGTACTTTTGTTTTTAAATTTTTTTTCTTCATACTCGTTTTACAAAGAGTATGTATATATATTCACGTAAATATATATACATCTATTAAAAAGGGGACCACTTTCAAACGGCACACATTTGAAAAATTATAATATACCCTATATTTATACATAAATATTATTATATATTCAATATAGGTATGTATATACATATATATAATGCAAAGAATAATATAAGTGGTTTATAATAATTTCAAAAATAGGGTATTTACACATAACTCATATTATTATATGCAAGTACCCATACTCTGTATATTGTTATACTCCTATATAACTGCCATATATGTGCATAGTATAATTATATAAAAATAAAATAAAACACATATTTATAGAGGCAAAAAACGCAGCATTTAATCACCCCTTTATTTTTCGAAAGATTCATTTTCCCCGATTTTAATGAAAAATAATAAAAACAATGCATAAAAAAAATGTTGACCCAGAAACGGTATTTGAAATTTTTTTACTATTAATTTTTTCGCATATATAAGAAAAAATACAATAATCTACTGCAATCCGTTGTTTCCCTCCCCCCTATATTCCTCTTTTGCACTGTACCATATGTACAAATGTACTTTAATGACTTGTAAAATGGATGATTAATGCACATGAGAAAGGACTCAAATAGCGTTGCTTTTACCTATACCTACCTGTTTTTTTTTTAGAAATTTTTTTCCCTTGTGCTTTAACATTAATAATTCAATATAAATAATCACTTCTTTATATAAAGAGCATTTACCCTGTCTCCTTTTTAGAATAATAATAATAGTAAAAAAAAAAATGTAAATCTTAAAATGTTAGGTCTCAATAATAGTTTTTCTATTATTCCTGCTCTAGTGTAAGAGATTTTAAAATTTTAACACATAGTTACAATCTTAAATGTATAAAAATGTCTTATATATGATATTTAAAACAAATTGAATAAGTCTATACTAATCTCAATCAACTTCTTGTCAATTGTTGGTATAATTGCATTTTAAAGTATTTAAAGTTAAAGACTCCTTAAATTATCTTATAAAATATGACAATAAAACTAGTAATACTGCAGGAAAACTCATCAACAATTCAAACGCAGTATTTATATGACATTAATTGAAAATTATTTGGTCACATATGTATTTATAATGGAATCGATAGTTTGAAGGGAGTAATTTTCCTCGACAGACCACTGAAGCCATTAAATTTTATTATGATATCCCGCCTGTAACTAAAAACCGTCAGTAAACAGATGTAAGAATGTGAATTGCCTCCGAAATTAGATTTTTGCACATTATTTACTCAGCTGTTTCCGTACTTTTGCAGGAAAATTTCCATCAATAACCCTAATTTGCTAGTTTAAACCTAAGGACTGCGATCAGGAAATGAGGCCAACTGTCCTCAAATAGTATCGAAATGAAATGTCTTGCCTGTTTCATTCCCAGAACGTGATTCCAACATTCGAACTACAAAGGAACAG